GTGTGGGGTCAGCTGGCTCAGGTAGGTCACAGGAAGTGTGCGCCCACAGAGTCTCGTGTGCCTGAACCTGGCTCTCTAGGAGGCAGCCCACACACAGGAGCCAAACCGAGAACTCGAGCAGCCTACCCTCAGCGTCAAAGCGCAGGGCCCTAGGGGTCGCCATAGCGGAAGCGTAGAGGTGGATCTGCTGCTGCCGAAACCCTAAACGCCTAAAGGCCTGTGTAGGGCGTGAGAGACAGTGCGACACGACGGGACGGACGCGACTGGCAGAAACAGGCGCGGACAGGCAGGGCGCACGAGGCACGACGGACGGGCAGGGCGCAGCGAGGGCGCGGCGGACGGGCAAGGCGCACGGCTCGCGATGGACGTGCAGGGCGCACGGGGCACGACGGACGGGCAGGGCGCACGGGGCGTGACGGACGGGCAGGGCGCAGCGGGGGCGCGACGGACGGGCAGGGCGCACGGGGCGCGTGCGACGGGATGGGACGAGAAGCGCGACGTGGACGGGACGGGACGGGACAGACGGCGCGACACGGCAGGGCAGAAGGGGGGCGACGCGACGGGACAGCAGGGACAGGACGGGACAGCAGGGACGAGGGGATGGGACGGGACAGCAGGGGGCGACGCGACGGGACAACAGGGGCGACGGGACGGGACGAGATAGCAGGGGCGACGCGTCGGCAGGGGCGACGGGACGGGACAGCAGGGGCGACGGGACAGGACGGGAGAGCAGGGGCGACGGGACGGGACAGCTGGGGCGACGCGACGGGACGGGACAGCAGGGGCGACGCGACGGCAGGGGCGACGGGACGGGACAGCAGGGGCGACGGGATAGCAAGGGCGATGGGACGGGATGGGACAGCAGGGGCGACGCGACGCAGGCGCAGCGGGCGCTAGGGCACGAGAGAGACAAGCGCGAGAGGCGCTAGGAGACTGTACGGGCATAACGGGCACTAGGGTACGAGACAGGCTCGGGTGCTACGGACGTGAACGAGAGGAACGGGATCCTATAGGATCCTAACCTAGGTGATACCATGTCAAGAATGAAAGTGTTAGTTTCATTAAGGTTGGTTGGGGTACATAAACCTAACCCTAACAGTTGTACTCCCTATAACACACATAACTAAGACTACAACATTTGACATTTCCCCCCTGCTGTTCCTCACCCTTGAGCCTCCCCCAGTCGCCCCGGTAGCCCCACCCCCTTCGCGTCCTGCCCCGTCAGGTGTGTCGCACGTCACTCCGCAGTCGTCCCCCCCGCAGCGTCCAGTCCCTGTCGTGTCTGGGGGTGCGGGAGGTGCAGTTGCGGAGGGTGAGGGTACTTGGGCTGCTGGAGCTGGTGGTCTCGGCTCTGGGGGTGCAAGGGGTGTGGGCGTGGAGGTCACTCCCATGGAGGACACGGCAGCCTCGAGTCGGCGGCCTCGCCCCGCGTCACCCCCTGGCTTCCCGTCCGTCCTGCAGTTCCCTCCTCGTTCTTCTCTGCGGCCGGTTGCTGCGGAGCCTAGGGGTGTTCCCGCAGGAGGTACTGGAGGCCCCGAGGGTGTCAGTGGTGGAGGTGCTGGTTCTGGGGGTGCTGGAGCTGGAGGCACTGGCACTGTGGCGCCTACACCGCGCACTGTACGTTTCGTGACCCGTGAGCAGCGTCTCCTCCGATTGGAGAGGGAGGAGCGTCAGCGGTCTGAGAGGGCACAGCAGCAGCAGCAGCAGGAGCAGGAGTAGGAGCAGGAGCAGTCTCAGTCGCAGCAGTAGGAGAGCATAGAGGAGGGGTCACAGCAACAGCAGGAGAGAGCAGAGGAGTTGTCACAAGTGCAGCAGTAGGTGCAGTTGCAGCCGCAGCAGGAAAGAGTAGAGGAATCACGAGTGCAGCAGCGGGTGCAGTTGCAGTCGCAGTAGGAGAGAGTAGAGGAGGAGTCACGACCGCACCAGGAGACGGTAGAGCAGGAGTCTCGCCCGCAGCAGCAGGTGCAGTTACAGACATAGTAGGAGAGAGTAGAGGAGTCACGGCCGCAGCAGGAGAGGGTAGCGCAGGAGTCCCGGTCGCAGCAGCGGATGCAGCTGCAGCCGCAGCAGGAGAGGGCAGAGGCGGAGCCACAGGAGCAGCCGCAGGGGCAGGTACCGCCGCAGCAGACACCAGAGGAAGCGGAGCAGCATCGACTGCGTCTGCGCGACCTGCCCGACCCAGCACCTGCACGCTTGGTTCGTGGTCCCCTGCCGTCCCCTCCTGTTCCCCCCGTCCAGTCCCTGTCCTCGTCACAGTGGACTCGTCGTTCTCCCCTCAGTCATGCTGTGTCTCCAGAGCCCCGTCGGTCTCGTTACCGTGCAGACGGCCCGTTTCACCTTGTTCTCCGCTCTCGTGTCCCACCTCCTCCGGTCCTTCCACAGCCTCCTGAGTCGTCCCTCACTGTGCTTCACGAACCGTTGTCCGACTACCTCCGTGCCTCCCGCCCTGTCGTCTCCCGTGTTTTGTCCGCGTTGGTCACTCACCCGACTGCACCCCTGTCGTCTGTCTCAGCTCTTGTTACCAGTGTCACAGGCTTTGCCTCTTCCCACCACCCTGACTACGCCGCTCACCTGGTGAGTGGCCCTGCTCGTTCTCCGTCCTTTGGGGATGCTCCTGTCTTTCCCCTGGAGGTCCTGGAGGACAGGCAGTTCGAGATTGGTTTCCTTGTGGCCTCTGTTCCTCATCTCTGCTCCATGCTGCTTGCCCCTAAGGTGGATCCAGACGCTCTTGACATCCCGATCCCTCGCAATCACGCTGAGACGGTCTCGGGACCTTGGGCCTCGTACTGGATAGCAGCTGAGGAGGCAGAGATGGCATCTTAGAGGTCCACAGGCACCTGTGAGAAAAGATGAAGAAGAACCGATAGTTTGATTAGAAAGTATGGGGGTATACATAGTAGTGCTAGGATGGGTGGTTTGGTTGGGAACCTAGCCAACATTATTGGCCCCCACCAATAATTTGGGTTGAGGGATTATTGGGGGGACCAATAATGTTGACCAAGTGGTTCAACATTATTGGGGGGACCAATAATTCCCAACCCAACCTTGGGGGCCAAGGTTTGAGTTCCAACCCCCGACTAGGGTTAGCCCTAGTTCTATACCCAAACTAAGTTTGGGTGTCTATCTCTAACCTAAGCTTATAGTATTGATGTAGGTTACAATGAGGATGGTAATCTAACACAACCCCTTAACCTACAGAAATCCATAAGCTTGGGAAGAGAGAGAGCAACAACCCCTGAATCAGCCACCGCGGGGAGCAAGTCCCTTGAGGTGCAGAAGCGCAGAGTGGTCAGAGCGGTGTAGAGCCTTGGTGAAGAGACCGGCGAGGTTGTCGGAGGAGGTGATTTTGCAAATGGTGATATGACCATCTGGAACAAGGTCGCGAACAAAATAATAGCGAAGCTCGATGTGTTTGGAGTGACCATGAAAGACTGCTTCCTTGGTGAGGTGGATGGTACTGTCGTTGTCACACCACAGGGCGGGGCAGGGCTGTGGGGAGCCAAGGTCGGTGAGCAGATAGCTGAGCCAACGTGCCTCTTGAGCCGCCATTGTGACCGCGTATAGTTCAGCTTCGCAGGATGAGAGGGCAACAGAGGAGGAGTGGGTGGAGCGCCAGCTGATGAGGCCGCCCCCGAGTGTGAAGCCATATCCTTGGGAGCTGCGACGGTCGGGCTGTGTGTCGGCCCAAGATGAGTCACTGAAGCCTTGAAGAATGGGTGGGTTCACTCCACCAAGAGTGAGGACATGGTCCTTCGTGCCCTGAAGGTAGCAAAGAATATGCATGGCCGCCTTCCAATGCTCTTAACCATGCCTGCCAGTGCCAACGAACTGCGCCAAAACACCGACTGGGTATGCAAGGTCGGGACGAGTGCAGACCATGGCGTACATCAGGGCCCCAACAAGTTCTGCATAGTGATGAGGGGAGGTGACGGGAGTGGTGGGAGGGGAGAGCCGATGCCCGAATGCATGTGGTGTGGGGATGGGTTTGCAGGTTTTCATGCCAAACCTCTCAAGAATCTTCTCGATGTAAAAAGATTGAGAGAGGGTGATGGTCCTGGCAGTGAGGTCGCGGGTGATCTCCATGCCGAGGTAGTTGCGGACCTCCCCCAAGTCTTTGCAGGCGAGGCGTTTCTGCAGCTCATCCTTGACCTCCTGTAGTTCAGCAGCTATGTCAGCGGCCAGCAGCATGTTGTCGACGTAGACGAGGATGTAGAAGGGTGATGGGGTGAGGCACAGGAAGAGGAAGGAGGCGGCACGGGAGGGGCGAAAGCCAAGTGCGCGAAGGGTGGAGGAGAGTTTGGCGTGCCATTCCCGAGGTGCTTGTTTGAGCCCGTAGACAGGGCGTAGCAGCTTCCAAACAGTGGTAGGGGCGTGAGGAGCGTGGAAGCCTTTGGGACGTTCCAGGAAAATGAGCTCATGAAGGTCGCCTTGCAGAAAGGCGGTGGTAACGTCCATGGAGTGAAGAATCATCCCGCGTCTGCCAACAAAGTAAAAAAACACGCGAATGACTGGTGGAATGGCGGTGGGTGAGTAGGTCTCCAAGAAGTCGGAGCCATAGGTCTGTGTGAAGCCTTTTGCCACATATCGGGCCTTGTAGACCGGAGCGTCGCTAGGGAGTAGTTTTACTCAGAAAAGCCACCTGCCTTTGACCACGTTGTGCTTAAAGGGAAGAGGAACGTCGAGAAACAAGCGGTTGCTGATGAAGGCGTTTCTCTCCTTGACCATGGCCTCTATCCAGAGAGGCGCATCAAGACAGGCAAGTGCTTGCTCATAGGTGGTGGGTTCGTAGATGGTGGCGGTGGTGGAGAAGAGAAGGACATTAGTGCCAGCCATTGTGTGGACGACGGGGGCGATGGTGGGTGAGAGGAGGTGGAGGAAAAGAAGCTCATCGTGAGAGTCTTCAGAGAGGTCTGGATTGAGAGGAGGAAGAGGAGGTGGTGGAGTTGCAAGACAGCTGCGCTTGAGGGTCGGGCCGATGCGGGGACACAGCTGCACTGGTGCTATGCTGCGATGAGGGTCGGGGCGGGGAGACAGCTGCATTGCAGCTCGGCTTCGCTTAGTTGCAATGAGGGGCAGGGAGATGGGAGCGCGACTGCTGAGAGAACCTGAGGTGCTGGTGCGGGGGGGAGGGGAGGTGCTATGGTGGCGGCGAAGGGGGACGGATGTGAGAGATTGGAGGGAGGGGGGGGGTGGACCTTGGGGTACCAAGAATGGGGACCGTGGAGCGGGTGTGAGGGTAGTGGCGGAGTATGAGAGGGGGAGTGGGAAGTAGGGGCCAGGAGGATGGAGGTGGAGTGAGTGGGGGAGGGCGTGGGGAGGGGGGAGGTGGGGGATGTTGTGCATGGAGGGAGGGAGGGGAAGGAGGGTGAGGGGGTGGGGAGGGATGGGGAGGGGCAGCGGGTGGGGAGGGAGGGGGAGGGGCAGCGGGTGGGGAGGGAGGGGGAGGGGCAGCGGGTGGGGAGGGAGAGTGGACGGGGCCAAGGATGTCTCCTGACGAGGCGGGGGGAGAGGGGGGAGGGGGTGGGGGTGCAGGGGGGACAATGTGGGTGGGGGGAAAAGGGAAGGGGAGGGGAGAGGGGGTGGGGGGGAAATGGTGTCAGTCCAGAGGAGGGGACGGGTGGTTAGAGGGAGGGGTTTAGGGACTTTGGGGGAGGTGTAGTACGGGTGGGCTTCATCGAATTCCACATCCCGACTACGAAGGAGGCGACCTGAGGGGGGATGGAGGAAGAGATAGTCCGGGGAGGAGGTGTTGTGACCAAGGAAAATGCAGGGGAGAGTGCGGGAGGCTAGCTTCCCAGCTTTGCGTGAGCGGTCGACAGAGTGTATGAGAGAACATACGCCTTGGACCCCCACTCGCGCAGGGGGGTGATGTCGGGATTTTTGGATGTCTAGAGTGCGGTGGGAGTGGTGGTGGGCCGGGAGGGATGAGGGTACAAGTTAGTGAGGATGGCAGCGTGGAGGATGGCATAGCCCCAGAGAGAGGGCGGGCAGGAGGCATGGACCATGAGGCACCGAGCAGTCTTGGTGACCTCGCGGACCCTGCTTTCCACCACGCCATTCTGCTGAGGGGAATGAGGTAGGGTGTAGGTGTGAATAATGCCACGAGTGGTGCAGTAGGATGAGAGCATGTTGTTAAGCAGCTCACCACCGCCATCAGAGTGGAAGTGGGAGACAGGGCGTTTGAAATGGGTGCGTGCTTGTTCAGCCCAGGCAATAATAGCAGCCGGGGCCTCTGCCTTCGTGCGAAGGAGGGAGACGGAGGAGTAGCGGCTGTGGTCATCCACCAAGAAGGGGAGGGGATGGGAGGAGGGGATGGAAGGGGGAGGGGAGGTGAGGGGAGGGGAGGAGGGGAGGGAAAGGGGAGGGGAGGTGAGGGGAGGGGGAGGGGTGAGGTGGGGGCGATGAGGTTGTGAATGGAGGTGCGAGGGGTGCGGTATGTATACAATTTGTGTGAGGGCAGAGGGGAATGCGATAGATGAAGCGGCCAGTGGAGGTGAGGAAGAGGTCGCAGTGACGTGCATGACCAAGGAAGAGGGCGGTGATACCGAACCTGGTGAGGTCACAAAGTGCTACTAGATTGTTGCGTAGGGAGGGGATGTATAGACCGGTGACTGTGCCTGAGGGGAAGATGGGGCAGGGGAGGGTGGAGGTGTGTCGACTTGTGATGGTGAAGCTCGAGTCAGCTCCATGGATAGTGGAGGGAGTGGGGAGAGGTACCAGTGTGCCTGTATCCCGAAGGACCGTGTGTGTAGCTCCACAAGGATAAACTCAAGGCATGCGGAGGAGGAGGAAAAGGTGGAATACTGGAAGAGGGACTCATTAATAGCATGGGCATACAAAGAATCAGCAGGAGCAGTGCTAACATGTCCTATGAATCCAGCAGAGGGGAACGGAGTAAAGCCAGGAGGGTTGCTGGAGGAGGAGGGCTGTTCAGCAGCATTAGCAGCAGATGCGGGGGGTCCATAGCCATATCCAGCATAGGGAGGGTAAGGCCAGCCAGCATAGGGTGGGGGATAGTGAGTGGGAGGGGCTTGAGGCGGAGGTGTGGGTGGAGGAGTGGGATTGGTGGGAATGGGGGTGGATGAGGGGAGAAGATGCTGAGCTAGCTGAAGGATGTGAGATGGGAGATGCTGAGTGAGGACATTGTGGAGGTTGGGAGTAGAGGGTTGATAGGCGGGGAGAGTGCGAATGTCATGGAGGGAGGGGTGTGGGAAGACGGTGTTCCAGCAAGGTGGAGTGCTAATGTTGCCACGTGCGAACCACTCGTCAGTGAGGGCTTTGAAGCACGTGTCAGTGGTATGAATGGTCTGAGAGCATGGCTGAGCTTTGTTGGAGCCATAGCGGATGATGTACTGACACGGGGGAAGGGTGCCTGAAGGTGAGGTGTACTCGCCACGTCCGCCACAGCCACCACTATGTCCACCACTACGTCCTCCTCCTCGTCCTCCACCACTTCCACCTCCACCACTGCCAGTACCACCATGGCCACCACCTCCGCCGCTGTTCTGGTTGCCTGTGGGGGCTTTGCGAGTCTGAACTGCATTGATAGTGGTGGAGTCACGTTGAAGGTCGGCTTCGCTGTCAAGTAGCCATTCGATAGTGTCGGTCACAGGAGGAGGGCAACGATAGCGGGAGGTGAAGGTGATGCGGTATGTGTCATATGTGGGGGGGAGGCAGTCGAGAATGCGTGTAGTGAGCAGAGACTGAGAGATGACAATGCCTCGATCGTTGAGGCGTTGGGCAGTATCAATGAGGCGGCGGGTGTAGGCTGCAGCAGTGGGAGAGGAGTCAAGAGTGGTGTCTTGGAATTTGCAAAAGAGGGCAACGAGGTAGCGAAGATCCTGGCAATCATACTGAGCAGAGAGAGTTTTCTAGAGGCTAGAGGAGGAGGTGGGTCGGAGGTCACGTTTGAGGTGTGAGGGAATGCAGGAGAAGATGATGGCGAGAGCGCGTTGATCCGCAACACGCCATGCTGCGACATCCTTTTGAAGTTTGCGCAGCTCCTCAGCATGATCCCTCTCATTTTTTTCGTGCTGGAGGATGCGCGCAGTGGCGACAGCATGGGCTTCCTCAGCAACATGGTATGCTTCACGCTCGATGGTGTAGGTGTCATATAGCTTATTGTAGTTGTTCAAGTTGGCCGCCCAGCGGTCCGGGTTATCATCATGAACTGGAGCATGAGGGGCGGGGTCAATAGGTTCTGGACGTGGAGGGGCTTTGGGGGGGGGGGGATCAAGAGGAGGAGGGAGAACGGGTGGAAGGCCGTTAGAATTTTCAAGGACTATGTCAAGAAGACAGTAGTCTTGGATGATGACAGAGCCAAGGTGGGTGTGAAGGGTATCCTCAAATGACGCCCAATTCATAGCCGTCGTGTCATGCAGGAGCTCGAGCTTGTCGATAGCTCCGAGCTCAAGGGGAGTAGAGTCGTCCGCCATGAGGAGGTGGAGGAGGAGGGGGGGGGGGGGGGGGGGGTGGGGGTGACGACACCGGCTTGAGGGCGGGTGCGGTCAAAGAGGGGAGGGGGGAGGGACGACACCACCTGGAGGGGTGGTGCGGTCAAGTTGCGCGCGGTTGAACCATGATACCCGCGGCTGCGCCTTGTCCCCCGCGGCTGCGCCTTGTCCCCCGCGGCTGCGCCTTGTCACCCGCGGCTGCGCTGTACGCGTCCGCCCCCGTCGGCGGCGGGTTCCGCCGTGGCGGTCCGCGTCCGCGGTGAGGGAGGGGAGGGGGACCGTAAGCAGCAATTCTAACCGTGAGAACGGAGGGGAGAGGTGCTGAAATTGAACGTAGGGGGAGGGGGGTCGTGAAGGCGTAAGAGCGCTCTAGGCGCTAAGAGCGACTTAGTTGTCGAATGAGAGAGATCGGCGTGATTCGGCACGCGGAGGTGTGGTTCTTAGGATCGAAGAAGGTGTTAGCTGTTTGGCTCCGATTACCATGTGAGAAAAGATGAAGAAGAATCGATAGTTTGATTAGAAAGTATGGGGGTATACATAGTAGTGCTAGGATGGGTGGTTTGGTTGGGAACCTAGCCAACATTATTGGCCCCCACCAATAAGTTGGGTTGAGGGATTATTGGGGGGACCAATAATGTTGACCAAGTGGTTCAACATTATTGGGGGGACCAATAATTCCCAACCCAACCTTGGGGGCCAAGGTTTGAGTTCCAACCCCCAACTTGGGTTAGCCCTAGTTCTACACCCAAACTAAGTTAGGGTGTCTATCTCTAACCTAAGCTTATAGGATTGATTTAGGGTACAATGAGGATGGTAATCTAACAGCACCTACGTCGACGCAGTCCCACCACCTGGGACGAACGTTGTCAGTGGCCGATGGCTCTACAAGGTGAAGCGGCCGCCTGGATCACCACTAGTGTTCAAGGCGCGCTATTTGGCGAGAGGCTTCAGTCATCGAGAGGGGGTAGACTTCTTCCAGAACTTCGCTCCCACCTCGAAGATGACCACTCTTCGGGTGTTGTTGCATATTGCAGCCCAGCGTGACTACGAATTGCACTCCTTGGACTTTTCGACTGCGTTTCTTCAGGGGAGCCTGCACAAGCAGATCTGGCTGCGTCGCCCGCCTGGCTTCACTAGCTCTTTCCCACCTAGGAACCAGTGGCAGCTGCATCGACCAGTCTACGGCCTGCGCCAGGCTCCACGTGAGTGGCACGACACACTTCGCTCAACCCTTGCAGCGCTTGACTTCTTTCCGTCGTCTACGGACCCGTCACTGTTCGTCCGCCGTGGCCCGACCCCATTCTTTCACCTGGTATACGTTGACGACCTGGTCTTCGCCACTCCCGACCGACGCGCGCTGGCCTCCGTGGAGGAACTGCAGAGGAGACACACTTGCACTGACCTTGGTGAGCTGTAGCACTACCTTGGCCTGCAGATCACCAGAGACCAGGCAGCTCGCACCATTACGCTGACTCAGTCGCATATGGTCGAGCAGATCCTCATGCGGTTTCGCTTCATGTTCTCCAAGGTACAGCTCACCCCTCTTGTTGTGGATCATGGGCTCACGGCTCCACCTTCGGACGGGTCATTTGAATCCAGTGGTCCATATCCAGAGCTGGTGCGTTGTCTCATATACCTGATGACCTGTACTCGCCCAGACCTAGCTTACCCTCTTAGCGTCCTAGCGCGTTTTGTTGCGCCTGGTAGGCACCGTCCATCTCACTGGTATGCGGCTAAGAGGGTGGGAAAGTATGTGGCGAGTACATCAGGCATGGGACTTGTCCTTGGAGGGAAGCAGCCAATTACACTGACAGGTTTCTCAGACTCGTTATGGGCCGACGACGCGGAGACGCGTCGGTCTACACAGGGGTACTCTTTAAGCTTTGGGACAGGTGCTGTTTCGTGGCGGTCGACTCGAGCGTCGTCAGTCTCCAGTTCTAGCTGTGAGGCAGAGGTGTACGCTGTGGCCATGGCCGCCCAGGAGCTTCGCTGGCTGTCTTTCCTCCTCACCAACCTTGGTGAGCGGCCTCGCTCTCCCCCAGTCTTGTTCGCCGACATCAGGTTTGCTGTCATGTTATGTGAGCAGCCCCGACTGGTTGGGAAGGCGAAGCATCCAGGTTCGTTACTTCCTTATGCGTAAGTTGCAGCAGAGTGGTCAGGCACTCGTGCGACGTGTGGTCTCTGAGGCAAACACTGCAGATGTCTTCACCAAGGCGTTACCGCCTTGTGATCACTGTTGGGTGCAAATTCACATTGCACGACATCCTGCCGTCTGTTTGTACGAGTATGCGTGTGCGACTGCATTTGTGTGTGAATGGAATGTTCTTGTGTTTGTTTGCTTTCGCAATTTTCGCTTGATGCATTTGCAGGTACTCGCGCAATGTGCGCTTCGGCTCAACATTGTACGCGCTATGAACAGTGCAAGCAGAAAGGACGACCTCGCAAACGAACCCAAGATGGAAGCTTTGCATTTCGATTGAATTGATTGCGCAGATTCAATTCTATCCAACTCGAAATTGTATTGTTTTGTTTGGTTGATTATAGTGTAGTAGGGCAGGCACTATAGGGGTACAATTTAGGTGAAGGTTGGATGTTGTTTGTCAGTATCTGCATGCTACAGGGCCAGGGGAAACCAGCGGAACCAGCATTTGGCTGGTTGGGCAAAGACAAAACAGGTTCTGTTTTTAGGACCTGAACCTGGTTGTTGTTTTCCCAGGTTGGAAAAACAGAACCAGAGGTTGTTTACCAACCTACCACCTGCTGTTTTGTCAAGCCAGGTTGGTTCTGTTGCTTGGAATGATTTGGGATCATCCCTGGTTGTTCCCAGGTTGATTCCCAAGGTCCTTACTAGCTAGAACTATATATTCCTTCTCTGTTTGTACCTGAATATTGTCAGAGGTCCACTAGTGATCCCCGATTGATCCTAGGGAAGGGTTACAGGCTCGTTCTCCTGGGGGGTTATAGGTGCACTGACCCGCTACTTAATAAGCCCTTTTATCCCAATGGTCTAGTGGTTGGGATTCTGACATGGTATCAGAGCAAAGGTCTTGGGTTCGAGTCCCTGTGAGTGCACTTCGGGCATCCCAGTGCGCGGGGGGTGTCAGAGGTCCACTGGTGATCCCCGATTGATCCTTGGGAAGGGTTACAGGCTCGTTGTCCTGGAGGGTTATGGGCGCACTAACCCGCTACTGAATAAGCCCTTTTATCCCAATGGTCTAGTGGTTGGGATTCTGACAAATATAGTCCAATTGATTCAAGCGAATTCCTTCTTTGCTGGAATTTCATTTCTACGTGGTGCGATGGCGGAATGTTACTGAATCAACGCTAGTACGCTAGCACTACGACGCTAGGCCAACGCTGTCCAATTCGTAACTCTGCAATGGCAGAACTTTTCGTGAGGCAACTTGGCTTTTTTTAAAGCTCTTAGAGTGAGCTTCAAGTTAGCGAGTTCTCAGCTTAATTCGATCGACGGTCTGCACGGCACGCTGCGCAACGTTCAAGGTACTCTTGCTGTTTTGACTAAGTCCCTCTTGATCTCTCTCTCTACAAACTCGGACCTGAGGATAGGGGCTGGTCTTGTACCAAGCACCCAGGGACCCTTGGAGGTGACCCTGAGGAGAGGTTTTAAGTTGGATAACATCTTAATAGCCTGAGTTTCTTAGGCCCTCACACTAACAAGCTGGTATCTGAGCTGTGTTATAGTGATCCTCGTTATAAGTAGCTATGTTGGGAAATACCTCGGCGGGAGCTGGTGAATCTTCAGCCCAAGATCGTAGCGGCAGCCAGGATTCTGGTGTTTCAGCGCCAAGGGGAGCGCGAACAAACCAGGGCTCGCTGATCAAGGAGGTGCTGGAAAACTTCACCGTCGAGAAGTTCAATGGTGAGGGCTATGATGATTGGGCCTGGAAAATGCAACTATATTTCCGTTAGATTGGATTGCTGAAACTAATGCTTGGGGAGGAGCCTAGACTGAGTGACCCCGCGTTGTTGGAAGATTGGGACGAGCGCGCCTCGGCTGGCTACTACTTGATGTCGCAGAGTTTGGAGCTGAACCAGCGTCACCACGTCATGCACCTGCTGCCGGAGGTTGATTGCGGTCCGAAGGCGTGGACCGTGTTGAAGGAGCTGCGCGCCCCGACCTCCGTTGTCGCAACGTTGATGCTGGAGAGGGAGCTGTCCGCGTTGCGCTTGAGCGAGGGAGAGCCGGTGCAACCTGTTTTGGACAAAATGCGCGACCTCTACGCAAAGTTGGCGACCGCGGGAATCACCTACCCGGAGCAGACTAAGTGCTTGAAGATGCTCTCACTACTGCCGGAATCGTGGCTTCAATTCACGAGCGGATTGAGCCTGCCGCAGAACCAGAGCTTGTGGACGCTCGAGTGGGTGCGGACGAAGATTCTGGAGGAGGACTTCCGTCGCCGCCAACTGAGGGGTGGAGATGACGGCAGCAGTGATTATGCGATGCAAGGGAGCCAACGTGGCAGAGGACGTGGCTTCAGTGGTGCTAGATGCGGTGCAAAGAAGGACGACGACTCCAACGAACAACAAGGAGGTACCGGTTGGGGTCGCGGTGCGAAATCTGGACGTGGGGGCAAGTCGGGTGCTGGTGGCAAAATGAAAGGGAGTTGCTGGTATTGTGAGAAGGAGGGGCACCCCTGGTTTTTGTGCTATAAGAAACCCGATAGATGGACCCCCCAGAATCGTCACCAGGATGGCGGCGCACGGAGGAACCAGAAAAACGGCGCAGACTTGGTCGCCGATTCGTCCGACAACAACCCCAAGAGCAACGGCGGTGCAGAGAAGAAGAAGGAGCGCACCGCGGGCCAGTTCTTCCATATTGGAGAGCAGGGGGAGCAAGAAGACGCCTCTGCCAAGGTTGGAGCAGAGCTGCATCCGCTGGACTATTGGGTGTTGGACACGGGCGCTGCTTGGACGATGACGCCATGCAAGGAGCTGCTTGACGACGTACGAGCTGCACCGATCAACGAGGTGTGCTCCGCCTCTGGACACGCGCTGAAGGTGGCTGGTGCGGGACGAGCTGCATTCAAGGGAGCGGATGGCAAGCCGGTGGTGCTGCACGACGTTCTCCTCGTTCCTGATCTCAAGGCCAACCTCATCTCCCTCCGTAAGCTTGCCAAGGCTGGGGTGAGCACTAGCACGGATGGGGCACGCACGTACAAGGGGCAGTTGGGAAATCGGGTGCTTTGGGATCTGCACGAGAGCAAAGATGTGTACAGATCCATATGGCAGCTGCCGCCGTTGGCGTGGCACGGTGGGGGGCAGGCTGTAGAGGGGTTTGCATCCCAGGGGGAGTGCAACGCCGTTGGAGGGGTTGGTGTGAAAGTGTCGGCCAGATCAGGGGAGACAGATTGGGCAAGGGCACACCGATGCTTGGGGCATGTGGCAATGCCCTTGTTGAAGCAGTTGGAGAAGGATCGAGCTGTCAAGGGTTTGAAGCTGAACGGACAGCCACCCGATGACAACTGTGAAATCTGTTTGCTCTCAAAATTTACTCGCTTCCCCTTTCATAGCGTGACTTGCAGGAGCAAGAAGCCTTTGGAGCTGGTTCACATGGACTTGGTGGGGCGGCTGCCGGTGCAAGGGCACAAGGGGGAGCGGTATTTCCTAACCATTATGGATGATTGGAGCAGACTCATGTGGGCGTATCCGCTGAAGCAAAAGGACCACGCCGCCTCTACGATACAGGAAGATTGGCTGCCATTCGTGGAGAAGCAAGCGGAGTGTGTAGTGAAGCGGATTAGGACAGACCGGGGTGGTGAGTTCCTTGGAGCTGAGATGACGACCTGGCTCAAGAAGCAGGGCATTCAGAGGGAGCTGACCACGGCTTACTCTCCGCAGTCCAACGGTGTAGCAGAACGGGCGAACCGGACCATTCTGGAGACAGCTAGGGCGCTGCTCATAGAATCAAGGGTGGGCAATTCCATGTGGCCCCATGCTGTCCGGCACGCTACCATGGCTAGGAACAGGGTGCTCACTAAGGTTGGTAATGAATTGTGGGTGCCGTTGGAGAGGTGGCTTGGGAGGAAGCCGCAGGTGGACATGCTGAGGGTGTTCGGTTGCATGGCAGTCGCCCACATCCCCAAGAAGAATCGAAGTAAGTTGGGGGCGAGTGCAATCTGGTGTGTGCATTTGGGGCTGGCGGATGTACAGGTCGTCGGTGACCTGGTATGTCGACTCGATGAAGTGCCACGTCTGGTGGCCGTCATCCAAGTAGTCCCTACACGACTTCAAGGCGATCTGCACGCCCGGCGAGCAGCACCGCGAAATGACCGTGAAGGTTAGTAGCTGCACGATGCGAAACTCAGCTCGCAGCTCGGGGTTGCTCTCTGGCGGCGTCTCTGCCGTCGGCGAAGCACTTCAGCCCGGCCATCTTGAGCTGAGGTTCGATGGCCTCCTTCCATGTGAGGATGTTGGGACGCCCGACCAGCACGGGGGTGACCGAGGTTCTGTTCGGCGTAAACTTGAAGCAGCCGTAGCTCGACGCTATCCCACCCGCTGTCACGTGAGTCGCCGACGACACCGTCAATCCGCTTTGTCGACCTCCTACGTCGCCTTGCAAGGACCCTGCAGCCGCCGACAACTGCATCCCTTGTACTTGAACGCCGCCGACTTCATCGGCGTGGATGACTCCTCTCTGCCTCGACGTTCCTCCCGCACTGCTGCCGACCTGGTCACCACCGGCATTGACGCCCACGTCGACGCCGCCTGCAATGTTCACCGGTCAAGGAGAAGCTGGTCGAGAAGGGTGCTCCGTCGCCCACACAGCGCAGATGCCAGCCTCGACGACCGCCCAGGGGAGAGTCTCCCCGTACTCGCGAGCCTCATGACGTTTCCTTGCGTCCTCCAGCCGTGCATTCAAGGTGTCTGCAACACCCGTGTCACCTACGCCAACCATGGTGACTATTGCACAGCTGCCGGCCTACAAACACAATTGGTAAGTGAGCCTATGTCGACTAGGCTGAAGGTAACTCGTGTGCCGTCCACGCTCACCGCACCATGTGGAGACAACTTAATCAACGGGAGCTAGACTACGGGCTAGGCACGGGGTAGGAGTGATCTCCGATTCGTTCCTTAGTCATTTCCTTGTGTGCTCACTACTTTCTGGTTCACGGGGAGAATTAGCAAGAGTTTCACTACGAAAAGTTGGAAACAATGGTTCAGAATAATTGCAACAAAGTTGGCAAGACTGACTACATCAGAGCTAGCATGCAAGTCGGTCGACTGCCAGCGCAGCACGGTCGACTGCGTTCCAGCACGACTTGGTCGACTGCGCTCCAGCAGTGCAAGGACGCGGTCTGCCAACACTGCAAGTCGACGGCGTGCCAACATTGCAGCAAGGCGGCTACACAGCATTGCATCTGCAGGACAGCAGCGCACCCGCTTCGCAGGTGCTCGCAGATGATTGGCGCGCTGTGTTTTGTCACCTGCACAGCGCATACACCAGATCGTCCTTGTGCTAACGACTGCACCTGATCAGCCACGTCGACCTCGGGATATCACACCGAGGTCGGCCTCGCCAAAACCACGTGGGCGACAGTCGCGTGCCTCCGCAGAAACCCGTCGCCCGGGTAACCTGGTCAACCAGGAAACCACCACGTCGACCGGCTCCTCCTTCACGTGCCCGTCGACCACCCAAGTCGACGACCACCTCCAGTCGACCACACCAGGTCGACCACACCCCTGGTCGACCAGCTCCAGGTCGACCAGCACAGCTGTCTACCTACCACACGAGGTCGGCTTCCCCAATTCGGCGTCAGCAAGTAGACGCCCTCCACAGGTCGACCTCCCAAGTCGACCTCCCGAAGTCGGCGCCCTCCCGAAGCTGGCGCCCTTGCAGTGGCCCCCGTGCAGGTCGACCAGCCCCATCGACCAGCTTGCCCACTACTGCAGATCGGCTGTACCTCCCGCACACCCGACCACGAGGTCGGCTCCGCCCAAACGAGGACGGGGCCAATACAACTCCCGTTGACAACCAGGACCAGGCCGCCGCTCGCACGACTCGGGAGAAGCTCCCGTAGCTTCTCATGCATCTTTCTGTGACGCTGAAAGACACTTACAACTTTGACGAAACCACTGTCTACCTCTCCGTGCTCCCATGAAAGACGTACAGCAATGGCCGTGTGGCTGGAAGGAAGGTGGCTAAGGAGCGCCTTACCGTCGGCTTTCTCGTCAACGCCGATGGTTCGCACTCATTCCGGCCCTAGGTGATCTCCAAGACGAAGCGCCCTGATGACTTCTGCCCCGACTACGATCCCGACAAGCTCTGCAACAGGCGCAGCAATGCCAAGGGTTGGATGACGGCGCCGATGAGTGTTTGTTTTGATTCATTTCCTGTTTGGTTTATCTGCTCATTGTATCGGTTCATTCGATGTGATATCTCACAGTACCCGATCCATCTCACTTAACATTTCCATGTTTCTACCCACCCGACTCCCATGGCAGCTATTCACCCATTCATCGAGCAATTGAATGCTGCCATGTACGCGGAGGACAGGAACATCGTACTATTGCTCGACAACGCGAGCAGCCACGTGGTCAAGTCAGAGGGAGCCACGTTGGAAGACCTTTTCGGCTTCTACACGCTCTTGCTCTCGAACATCCGGCTCGTGTACCTCCCTCCGAATACCACGTGCTTCACCCATCCCCTGGACCAGGGGTTCATGGCCACTGCGAAGGCGCGGTACCTGGCGCGTTGGCTCCGTGCGGTCACCGCTCTGTGGTCTGCCGACGGCGCAATGTCCGCAATGGCTCGGTTTCAAGCCAAACCTCCGCGACGTGTTGGCCTGGCTTAGCGACGCGTGGATGAACATCGATCGGTGCACCATCCAGCACTGCTGGAGGCACACCAGATGCCTCCCGCTTGCATGGGCCATGGATTTCCACTCATGGGCGACGGCAATGGCGGCAACGGTGGCAACTGTGGTGCAGGCGGCAATGGCGCGGCCAACATCGAACTCGAGGAGGTTGTGGGCGACGTGGGCATTCTAATCGATCGCCTCGGCCTCGGTTCCGGCGCGAAGCCGGCGGCGGAGTTCGTCTGCATTGACGACAACCAGCCGACATGCGCTGAGCCGGGCGAGGACCCACTCGCGACTGAGCCACCAGCAGCGCCGGCAACCGACATGTGGGAGGCACTCACGAGCATGCAAGATGTCTACCACGACAGCAACCCGGAGTCTCGCGAAGCAAGGCGCTACGCACGCGCGGCGTGCAAGATGCTCATTGGCTATGCGAAGGTTACCGACATCACCAAGCGGGACCTATGCGTGCTCTTCGACATCCGCAACCCCATCATCAGGGCGCGCATGGAGCGTGCAAGCCCGCCCCTAAACTTGAACATGACCCCTCCTCCCGCCATGCCCCTTGCCGCCACCCCGCCGGCTGAGACCCCTCGTCGCCGTGGCTGCGTGCTTCCGCCGTGGACGACGGAGCCTACCCCTTTGTGGGTGGCACTGGCTCAGCAGGCTGCTCGCCGCCAGGAGCTGATTGACACCGGTGCGCCTACCGTCACGCAGGGCTACTTGGATGCCGCTGAATAGATGCGGATGTGAAGGGGCTTGAGCCCCTTGGAGGAGTTCTCGTCTCCTACTGCTGAAAATGTGCGTGCACATTTGCCCAAGCGTGAAGTGATGACGGGGAGTTGCATGGGTACGGATGTGGCTGTTTCCTTGGCAGAATGGATGGGAGTGGTGTTTGTGACAAAGTGAGGGATGTTCTGTAATAGCATGCAATAGTAGATGGAAAAAAAGTGGTAACCATGTCTACGTACTAGCAACAAAACAGGCACACCAACACTGGTTGAGAAAAAACAAACGTGTTACAACCTGTGTTTTTTAAAAGCACCTCAAGACTCTGGCGAAATGCACAAAACACTTATAAGCCCAGAGCACAACCCATGCACGGGGGACTCAACCGGGCATCAGCTGTAACTGCTCTGTTGAGGCGAATTTGCTGTCTCAGGGCGAATTTGCTGAGTCAGGGCGAATCTGCAGCGACGAGTCAAGCTGAAACACTTGCATCCATAAACCAGAAACTAGATTGTACACCCCCATTCTCAACATACTAACAATCGGGAGCTACGTCTATAGTGCTGCCATTTAGCGCGACTATGCATGTAACCAAACCCCCTAATGTTAACAGGCACACCATGCACCAATCGATAAAAACAGAACATTCAAATTGTTCTGTTGACTTTGTCCTACATGTTGACATGCGATTTCATTCGGATACAATTTCCCGTCAAACAGAAACGGAAATTTTACAAATCATATACACAGGTTCATAACACAAACGGACTCATCACGTTCGGTAAAAAGGGGTAACGTATGGTCAAACCAAAAAGGGAAAGATACAAGTCTCAAATGTGAACCCAATTTCACAAACCCATCCCTCCGACGAGACTAAACCTACACATAGAGGGAAAGAAAACAGAGTGGGACAAAAACCATGCGCGCGTCAAAGCCCCTTTCCAGGGCGGCCATTTCTAACTAAACCACAACAACAGCAAAGAGAAACATGGAAGCTGGAGCGGAGACACAGACAAAACAGACCATGCGAAAGATATTTGTTGGTGTAATGGCCTAACAAACTCAGGCTATTAAGACGTTATCCAACTTAAAACCTCTCATCGGGGTCACCTCCAAGGGTCCTTGGGTGCTTGGTACAAGACCAGCCCCTATCCTCGGGTCCGAGTTTGTAGAGAGAGAGATAAAGAGGGACTTAGTCAAAACAGCAAGAGTACCTTGAATGTCACGCAGCGTGCCGTGCAGACCGTCGATTAGATAAAGACGAGAACTCGCTATATCGAAGATCACTCTAAGAGCTTTCAAAAGAGCCAAGTTGCCTCGCGAAAAGTTCTGCCATTGCAGAGTTACGAAATGGACAGCGTTTGCCTAGCGTTGGAGTGCTAGCGTACTAGCGTTGACTCGGTAGCATTCTGCCGTCGAACCGCGTGGATACGAAATTCCAGTAAGGAAGGAATTCGCTTGATTCAATCTGACTATATTCAGGTACAAACAGAGAAGGAATATATAGTTTTAGCTAGCAAGGACCTTGGGAATCAACCTGGGAACAACCAGGGATGATCCCAAATAATTTCAACCAACAGAATCAACCTGGCTGGACAAAACAGCAGGTGGTAGGTTGGTAAAAAACCTCTGGTTCTGTTTTTCCAACCTAGGAAAACAACAACCAGGTTCAGGTCCTAAAAACAGAACCTGTTCTGTCTTTTCCCAACCAACCATGCTGGTTCCGCTGGTTTCCCCTGGCCATTTAGCATGCAGATACAGACAAACAACATCCAACCTTCACCTAAATTGTACCCCTATAGTGCCTGCCCTGCTACACTATAGTCAACCAAACAAAACAGTACAAATTCGAGTTGGATAGAACTGAATCTGCGCAATCAATTAAACCGGACTGCAAAACTTTCATCTTGGGTTCCTTTGCGAGCTCGTCCTTTCTGCTTGCACTGTTCATAGCGCGTACAAAGTTGTGACGAAGATCGACGCCAGTGGTACCCTTGTCGAACTCCTTAATCAACTCCGCAGCCCTGAGCTGGCGAAACCGCATCTTGAAGCATGCAATGAGACCTTGGTCCAAAGGCTGCGCAAAGGATGTTGTGTTTGTTGGAAGGTAGATGATGCGGACATTCGACATTTTCATGGTTCGCATCCGGAAGAGTGATTCATCACGCCCCATAGTCAATTCAGTGCTATGGGACAATGCATTATCCATGAGAACCACGATTTGCCGTCCCTGTGCATAGCAAATCGTCTTGACGTTCTCCATGAACGTCCTGAAGAGCTGGGGCCACAAAAAGAACGAGAGGAAAATCAGCAACACACCTGTACTCTAATGAACACACTTTTTCATGGTTTACAAAGGGCATATGTTTGTAATATGAGCGCATTTGCAAAGTGCCAGCCATTAGCTATTATAGATCCAAGTAGTTATTGGTTGTGGCTCACCTCAGTGCTCATCCAACCTTTGCGATTCCACCTCCATTTCACATGGTCTTCGACGTTAAAGACATCGGCACCGAAATCCCTCGGCATCTGCACTTTAGCAATCACAAGAGGCCTCTTCATGACGGAGCCGTCCGCATTGCAAAGCAGAGCAACCGCGAGACGTTCCTTGCAGCCCTTGCCGCTGGCGAGTGTTTCACGTGCGTAAATCCTTCGCGGAATCTTGCCCGGGTAGAGAGTGGTTTCGTCAAAGTTGTAGCAATCCTCAGGGGTGATCCCAAGGCGCAGTAGCAATTGTGGCAGCTTCTCACGGCATGCCTTCCCTGCTTCTCTTTTGCGCATGAGAGATTTAAGCCCCATCCGCTTTAGAGTCCGCACCACCCATCCAATAGAGCATTTAAAGGATGGTGGGATGTCGGGCATCTCTTGTGCGAGTTTTTTCGCGTGGAGCTGGATAACTGCGAGAGTCAATAGTAAGCCAGCGGCAGCAGCAGTATGTCAAACATTAATCACATAGCCTGTCTAGGCTGTAGTGGGGTAGACACTATGGGGTACAGTTTCCTAGAGTTTCATATTTGTACCCAACTCATTTCCTAGTCAGTCATTCATTCCTGTTTCTTCACATGGTATAGAGCGGGTTCCCTAGCGGGACCGTTCCTTCCTAAGGGCCCACCGTCAAAATTTTTTTTTCCTACCTGCCCGAAGCGCGCTTCGCGCTCTGCCCTACCCTCGATCTTCGCGGCCCCCTAGCGGCCTGTCCTGCCCTACGCGGCCCCCTTTGCGGCCCATTAGCGGCCCCCCTTCGAGGCCCCGTTGCGACCCCGCCCCGGCCCTGCCCCGCCGCCCAAAGCCACCGCGTCGCGGCCCGGCCCGTCGCCCCGTCGCCCGGCGCCCCGTCTCCTTGGCCCGGCCCAGCCCGTCGCCCCGTCGTCCCGTCGTCCCGGCCCGGCCCTGCCCGTCGCCCCGTCGCCCGGCGCTGCCCTGGCCCTGCCCCGTCGCTCGTCGCGGCCCTGTCGCGGCCCGGCCTCTGCCCCGCCCCGGCCCTCCCCCGGCCCTGTCGCGGCCCTGTTCCGGACCTGTCGCAGACCTGCCCCGGCCCTGTCGCGGCCCTGTTCCGGACCTGTCGCAGCCCTGCCCCGACCCTGACGTGGCCCTGTCCCGGACCTGTCGCGGCCCTGCCCCGGCCCTGTTGAGGCCCTGTCGCGGCTATGCCCCGGCCCTGCCCCGGCCCTGCCCCGACCCTGCCCCGGCACTGCCCCGGCCCTGCCCCGGACCTGTCACAACCCTGCCCCGGCCCTGCCCCGGACCTGTTGCAGCCCTGCCCCGGCCCTCCCCCGGACCTGTCGCAGCCCTGCCCCGGACCTGTTGCGGCCCTGCCCCGGCCCTTCCCCGGTCCTGCCCCGGCCCCGCCCCTGGTAAGAGCACCGCCGAGCCGCACTGCCGAGCCGCGCCGCGCTGCCGAGCCGCGCTGCCGAGCCGGCCCGCCCTGCCGAGCCGCGCTGCCTTGCCTAGCCGCGCCGCTTAGCCGAGTCGCACTGCTGCTGCTCCTATCATGGCTAGTCCCAGTGTTATTACCTTTGATGCCGAGGGTCGAGCGGTTGACTTCGAGGTCTGGATAGATGATCTGCAGCTTTTCCTACAGTGCGACAGCAAGGATGGTCTCTCACTGTTCGATCTCACGTCTGGCGCCTCTACTGCCCCTGCTGCTGATGCTGACAGTACTGCTCGCTCACAGTGGACTACGCGCGATGCTGCTGCCCGCCTTGCTGTGCGTAGTCACCTACCGTCTACTGAGCGCGCGCACTTTAGTCAGTACAAGAGTGCTAAGACTCTGTACGACGCTGTAGTTGCACGCTACTCTTCCCCTGCCACTGCTGCACTTAGCCGCCTCATGCTACCGTACCTGTTCCCTGACCTCGCCGCTTTTGCCACAGTCACTGACCTCATTACGCACCTCCGCACTAGTGACACCCGCTACCGCGCTGCGCTTCCTGCCGAGTTCTGCGCCAAGAACCCCCCCCCCCATGTACATCACCCTCTACTACCTAGTTACCCGACTCCCTGATACCCTTCGCTCGGTCAGGGGCCACTTCCTCTCTCTTTGCCCTACCACACTCACCGTTGACCTCCTCGAGGAGCGCCTCCTTGCAGCAGAGACTAGTATTACCGCTGTAGGAGCCTCTCGTGGTGACCCCCGTACCCCTTTCTTTGAGGGGTGCTCCCCCGTTCCTCTTTTGCCCTCCGTTGCCTCTGCTGCTGCTGTCGACCTTCTTGGCACCGAGTCGGTCAGCACTGCGTCTGCTCCTAGCGAGAGGCGCCGTAGCGGCAAGGGCAAGCGGGGCAAGGGCGCTGGAGGGGGTGGCGGGGGAGGCGGTAGTGGCGGTGGAGGCGGCGGAGGGGGTGGGGGTGGGGGTGGTGGCAGAGGTGGGGGCTTCGGTGGCAGTGGTGGAGGTGGAGGCAGCAGTGGCGGTGGCGGCAGCGGTGGCGGTGGCGGTTGGGGTGGAGGCGGCGGAGGCGGTGGTGGCGGAGGTGAAGCTGGTCGAGGCGGAGCTGTGCAGCGGGGACCTCAGCAC